AAAATAATTGAATAAAATTTTTTCTATTTTTAGTGTAATGATCATTGTGAAGAGCATTCTATTCGTAATGAAGATCGTTTACAAGTTTTAACTAAATTTTGGCAAAATCTTTATAGTACATTAATTGATCTTCGTGCTCATGCACTTGTTCTACTCGGTTGTCGTATATTTGATGAACGACAATTAATTATTCTTATTCATAAAGTATTTAAATAAACAAAATTTTTGTTTTTAAAAATATTTATTTTATTATTAATTTTTCAGTCTGCTGTATCATTTTATTCAATGTCGAAATCTTCATTACCATCGAATCCAAAATATTCTCGTATGTCAAATAAAATTATGAAAAAAAAACAAAAATGTTTTTACTTTTACAGGTCATATAAACGATATTGAAACATTAATGAAAGTGTCTGATGATGAAACAATTGCACAAATTGATGATATTTTATTGAATGAAACATCATCAAATGATAAACAAATAATTACACAGTAAAATTTAAAATTAATAATAAAAAAAAAGAAAAAAAACTTAAAATATTTTTTTTTTGTATTTTTAAATAGAAAATTAAATCTTATTCAAAAATATCTTGAACCAATTGTAAATAATGATCAATTAATTGAAACGCTTCAATCAATTTATGATAAACATCCATCAAAAATAAATTCGAATGAAATAAATAATAATATATTAACATCAAAAATTGCTCGTCGTTTACTTGTTCTTGTATTTGTTCAATTATGTCATGAAAAACTTAATCAAATTGAACGTTTAAATAAATTAATTCCTTTAATATTTCGTTCAAATCAAGTAAAGAATTTTTATTTATTTATTAAATTACTTAAGGCATTCAAAAAGTTGTAGTGGAGGCGTTTTAATTCCTTATAGAAAACTTAAAAAATATTATAATTATAAAATTTCTATAAGAGCTGTTTGTTATGATCTCGGACACTAATATTAGATCACATTTTGTCTTTAATGTATATCTCGTCTCTTCTAATGCTTAGTATTAGAATATATAAAATGTGATAACGGTAGAACAAAAAAGTAAGACAGAAAATAAATCGATTAAGTTTTCATGAAATGTTCGAAGTAATCATCTTGGTTAATCACATACTCAATAGAATTCATTTATCGAACATTTATTTTTGTACTCTTTTTGATTGCTTAGATTTTGTTTAATTAAGTTGAATAGCCAAAAAATTACATGGTGCCTAATCCAGAGAAATCATTAAATAAAAACTTGGTAAACTTATTTCTGTATTTCATTTTTGTTCTACTGACGTCACTTTTTGTAAATCCTAATATATACAGACGGCTGCACATTCGTGGTAGGGAGTTGCGGATTCGGGTCCGCAAAAATGTGGAATCTCACAGCTTCCTAATTACAGGAGACCAAAAAATAAGAGGAGAATATACAGTGAAAACAATATGGTCTAATTTTATCGTTCCATACCAGAGACCAAATCAAATCGTGTTTTAGCTTGATCTCTATCACATATCATAAAAAACGATTTTTATCAAAATTTTATTATTATGATCTTAGTTGAAGAATGATAAAATATCAGAGAAATGTAGAGGATTGTTTTTACTATCAGACTATATAAAGAAAAAGTTTCTTTAAATTTTTCTACAAGAAATTGAAACACTTCCGTCACTATTTGTCGTATTTTCTAAGCATTTATACAACATATTTAGACTCGAATTAGTGCTCATCGATTAGAAAAAATTCAAGAGAAAGTTTTACCTTATTTACAAGATTTATCACAAATTTATCAAATACTTCTATGGCTTTCATCATGTGGAATTGAATCATCAACAATTGCAGTTAATGATCGGTAAGAATTATTAAACTTAACAAAAAAAAAAAGAAGAAAAGAATTTTTTATTCTATTTATTTAAGTGATCTCTTTATTGAAAATCTTGTTTATCAACAACCATATAAAACTCGAATAGGTAAAAAAAAAATAAATCATATCATGTTTTGTTTTTCAATAATCTAAATCTCTTTAATTAAATAGGAAATCAATCATTACTTGAACAAATTCTAGCAGATAATATTCAACAAGAACAAATTGCACCAAATGCAGAGAATTGGTTGGAAATAATTCATAAATCTGTTGATAATCTATTTTCTCTTTTGTATGATTTAAATTTTAAAATATAAAATTTTGAAATTTCTTTTTATTTTTCATTTAGATGGCCAAGTAATGATTTTTTAATAAAATATTTACCGAGTCGACATCAATGGACAATATTAGATCAATATTGTGGAAAACTTAATTGGTTTAAAGAATTAAATTCTGCTAGGTTAAATTTTGATTTAATTTTATTATTTTAGAATTTTTTTTTTGTTTAGACAATTTTTTCATGCATTAACATTTTATCGATCAGGTACAAATATTGAAACAGCTACAAGACATTTAGCTGCAGTATTAAAAGACCTTCATACTGATCCATTATTAATTGAAATGTTTGGAAAACAATCAATACCAGAACTTTTTTATATTGAATGGGTATGTTTAATAGAGAATTTTTTAAGACATAGGCCAGATTGAATAGAAAGACAATACATATCTGAAGAAGAATTTAAATTTTTCTCTAAGATATTTTTGACTGAATTACCTAATTATTTTTCCTTAATAATAAAGACTTGAAGTTTTTATTCATAAGTCAAGAGCTTATTGACACACTTGAAACTTATAACGAAATATATATACAACTGTCGGACGTGGTTTGGTTTTATATTATGACTATGAGTAGGTCTCGATGCGACTAAGAAAAGTTTGAAAGTGATAATTAGTTGCATGTATAACAAAAGAATAGTTTCTAATTCACATTTCATAAACTTCAATTTTCAGGCATATGGTTCAATCACACACAGCCAAAAGAAGAAACAAATATAGAGGATTATGAGAGATTTTTAAAGCAATTACTACTTATTGTTGTGTAAGATTTCATATTCAATTAGAAGAGTTTACTAATCATTCATGTTTATACTCATATCAAATATTTTCTTGTCCTTGAATAGATTGTTAGTTATTTTCTGGCTAGCTCTGAGTTATGTCTTTATAATGCTGAGAATTTTTTCTTCGATTTTATTTTTCACCATTACCACCAATTGTCGTAGATCCTTTAAAAGTATTCAGGTCTATGATCTACTGATGAAGAGTTATGACTGTTTTATTAAATTTTTATTGAGAATAAAGTCTATCTGAAAAAATTCAAAATCAAGAGTTGTGATTTGAAATTTCATCCATAAGCAGATTTGATAGTCCTGAAAGTTTCAACAAAAATGAACATGTTTTTATCAAGATATTTCAAAGTAGTGTTTTTTATCTGTTCTCTTCTGAAGTTGAACTATGAACATGTCTATTATTATTATTGTTTAAATCATAGTAAAGATATTTTTTGTTTTATTTTGTAGATTCGAGAATATTTAAAATATTTTGGTCAAAATCAATATGTTGCTTCATTTCTTCATCAATGTTTACAAACTACACATTCAAATGATATTCGTGTATGTTTCTATCATCAATCCATATCTCAGTTTATGATTTTTGTTATTTTGTTTTTTTCTTCTTTCATAGGCTTTAATTATTAAAGAATTATTTAAAACAAGTATTGATTTAAAAAATTTCGATGATGCTTTTTGGTGTATACAAAATACAAATGATTATTTAAGGTTAATTTTTTTTATTTAATTTTAATTTATTTTCAAATAAAAAATACTTTTTTAGTCAAAAACAATTTACATTTGAATATGCATTAGCTATATGCTCTCTATCAAATGATCAATCATTATATCGTCTTCAAACACTTATTCAATATCAACATGATAAATTAGGTTATATAGATTTTGAATTATTAGCTTATCTTGAACGGATATGTGTTGAAACTCAACCTATTCAAACATCACATGTATATGCACTTTATGAAATATATAAAATGATGAAATTACCATTGAAGAGTATGTATTAATTTCGAATCCGAGGGACTATAAAACGAAAAGATCAAGACCGTCCAGAAAGAATAGTCAGAAAGTATTATTACCATAATTTCCGCTTAACATTTGTCAGAGTGGTCACTGATTGGTCTGTTTTCTTCTTAAAAAAATTACTCATAAAAGTATTTTTTTTCACAAATTAAGCGGTTTTTACAAAAATGAGTAATGACTAGTCTATCGGCTCCAACTTCACTCTCTATTTTTCTACTAGTTATTCTCTTTTGTGTGATTTTATTTTTGCTATGAATAATAATTTTTGATGATGAAAAATATTCGTATTTATACTTTTTCTTATTTGTTCTTTTCTTTGCTTTTATTCATAGTGGCTCAAATAATGTATCATTATGGTTGTTCAATAAATGATATAATAGAACAGAAAAATGTATTTCAATTAGCTTTTGATGCTTTATCATCAATGGAACAAACAACTGATTCAACAGATCGATTATTTATTTATCCAATTAATTATGAATATAATGTATAAGATTTTTCTTTTTCTTTTTTAATAATTTTTGAAAATCTTTTATTTATTTTTAAAATAGTCATTATCACCTTTACATAATGATCATAATTCAGTTCGACTTATTGGTATTGATGAATGTCGACAAAAATTAGCAATTATATCTGCTATATATACATTACGAACAAATCGTTCATCATCGACAATTCAAATAAATGATACAATGCATCCAACACAATTAAGTGGTCTTCTAACAAAATTTCATTATGATACAGAAGCTCAACAATTACTTGATGCTTTTCAAATAAATAAATCATCAATGTATTTTGTTCATTAGGAATACATAAAACAGAAGAAAAAACAAACACAAGAGATTGATTCAGTTTATTGTTGTTATTATTATTATTTTTTTTCTTTTGTCATATTAAACTCGAGAAAAAAAGACATTTGTAGCCAATTTTTGTCTGGCATACATTTTGCACACATTTAGTTAAAAAATAAAAAAGAATTCTCTTGTCAGATGCTTAGAAATATTAATTAAAAAAATCATCAACCTCATTAGTTTCACCCGTTGTTGTTGTTGTTGGTGGTGGTGGTGGTGGTGGCGGTTGTGGTGGTGGTGGAAGAGGAATAGATGGTTGTTGATTTTTTCTCTTTGGACCAAATGGAGGATTATATAAATCTTCATCTGAAACTTCTGGAGATCGTGATGGTGATGGTTCTTTTCGACGAGGTGGACTTTTAACTTTAGGTTTTGGAAGTGGTTGAGAAGGAATAACAGTATCATCTTTTCGTGAAGGACCTAAGATAGCTTTCGATGCATCATCAAGCCATTTATTAACGTCAAAACTATTCGCAACTTCATCATCATTTTCATCTCTATCATCATCATTTGTTAATTTGTCATTTTTATTCGTTGGTTTTGGTGATGGTGCTAGAAAGAAAAATTTATGAAGAATATTTATATTCAATAAAAATGATTGATATTACTTTTGTGTTCAGATGTTGGAATTTTATGTGAAGAACGTGGTGATGATGTTGGCTGTTCATTTTGAGCATCTGATTTTTCTCCATTATCATTATCAGTTTTTTTATTGTTATTAACATCGGCTGTGGGTAAAGGTGCTAAATAAAATAATAATTTATTTTAATGTTAGATTATCAAAAAAAAAAAAAAAAAAAAATTTACTTTGATTTTCATCATGAATATTATTTGCATCATCTCTACGTTTTAATGCACCGTTTGTTGTTTTTGCTAGAAAATAAATACATTATTAATATTAAGAACTACATCTAGATTGCGAACACTTTTTTGGACAAGTAAGGCAAAAATATGTACAAAGCATCATCAGAGATGTGTATGGCCGAAGCGAAGACACCCACACTGATCCTCTTACTATATCTATTTTTGCATATTTTCATAATGCGACCATTTTTGTCCCCTCGCTCTCGAATCTACTTAGCGGACTTTTTTTCTCTCCAATTAAAAAAACAACGTACGCAATCTAGATCAAAATAAAAGCAAACATACGAAGTTCAGTTGATGGTTTTCGTGGTTGTTGTGGTGTTGGTGGTTTTTCTATACGAGGTGGTGGACGAGATGAATCTTGATTTTTTGATCGTTCTGATGTTGTTGATTCATTTTCCGATGAATCTTGAGCATTATCATCATTTTTATCAACTATACTTTGATTTTTTGATATCGGTTTAGTTGTAGGTTTTATTGATTCATTATGTAATGAATTTTGATCAGTATTTGTGGTTGTTGATGGTTTAGGTTCTTTAACAGTTGATTTTGATAAACCATCTACTGTTGGTTCCCATGCTGATTTTACTTTACTATCAGCATTTGTAATATGTTTTTTAAGATTAGAATCTCCATTACGTATTTTTGTTCGATCTGATAGTGTTTTTCGTTGAGATATTGGTTCTGATTCTGTTCCATCAGTAATATGTTTTCCAGTTGGTACATCATATTTTGATTTTAAAGTAGGTTCAAAATATTTTGGTGATTTTTCAGAAATAGTTTTTGATGGAGGATGCCATATAGGTTTACGTGTTCTAGATGAAGACGATTCATTATGAGGATCATATGTACGGCTATGTCTTCTTTTATGTGTAACGTCAGCTGAATTTCGAGAAGTTTCTTGTCGTGATGATTTAGATTTTGACGATGGAATATGAGAATCAATAAATTTTGACTGTTTAATAGAACCATTCTGTTGTCGGATAGGTACAGTATTAGAAAACGAAGCATTCGATTCTTGATATTCATCTGATACATGAAATGGAGCAGAATCAGGACGATTACCAGATGTAACAGACGGTGATCGATAACGTGAACTCGATGATGGACGTTCTAAAAAATACATATGTATTTTTCTATGTTCAATTCTATATCATTATAAACCTTTAGCACGAACCGATCGACGACGTGATTTAATTGGTTTATCACCATAGTATGGTCCTCTCGGTGTTTCGGATAGTTGTGATGTATTTGAATCAGAATAAGAATTACGTCGAATTGATGAACCATCGATAATCCATGGACTTTGATTATCAGGCTTTTTTCTTATCTGTTTTACGAAACCTTGATCTCGTGTTGGATATAAATCAATAAACATTGGATTATCACTGGAATAAACATCTGCTGTTGACCTATGACGAGAAGATTGTTGATGTCGTCGTGGAATATGAATTTTGTATGTAACTCGAGCTTTGTGTATTCTAGGAGACTAAACAGGAAAAAAAAGCCAAAATCGACGGTAGGAAATATTTTATTTGGTTTAAATTACCACTTCTAATTCAGTTGACGCTGAGCGTTCTTCACTTATTGATCGAGAACGATATTTTTCATGTGAATTTTGAGATAATGGATAATGATGAATATGATAATGTGCTGGTGACCGATCGGTTAATTCTGATTGAGCAAGTGTTTGACATAATTCATCATTAATTTGTTGTAATTTTGATAGTGCTTGTGGTTTAGAAATTGGAGATAAACGAGAAGAATGTATTGGATGATGATAAATTATTCTAGAAGAAGTTGGTGATAATGAACGATAAGATGATAAAGAATCCTTATCAAATTCATCATTATTTTGATCCATTTTATATAAATCAAAATTAAATTTTGGACCTGATCCACTTAATATTGGTCGACTTAAAGGAGGAGATTTACAACGACGAAATAATGGTGATGATGATCGATTTGAAAACATTGAAGAAGTTATCAATGAAGACATAGGAGTATACTTTGTAGATTGATGAATAAGAGTCGGTGAAACATTATAAACAGAATCAAAATTAGACATAGCTTGAGTGTATTCAATTGATCTATCCATTTCTTAATAGAATTATTTATTTTTGATTATATATGTTCAAGGATTAAGAAATTTGTTCGTTTTGTTTTTAATCGAGTGTCATCTGACGCACTGCTATCAAATGTTTCCATAGAAACAAAAAAATATGGAGTGAATATATTAAATAATTAGAAAGCATACGAATGATGTTGTTTAAATTTATGATGAACTAGTAATAATATTCAAAAATAATAAAATATTCAAGTAAAAATGGAAATTTTCTTTGAAATAAACTGTCTGATGCTGTCATCTATTGAAAGAATCTTTTTTTTCTTCTTTTCATCTCAACATAACTACATTCATAGGCGCGCAAAAACAGAATATTTTGAATTCTTTATAAATAAAATGACTGATAATAATTTATCAGGACGAACGACTAATTTGAATCATAAAAAACTTTCTCCAGGACCACCAATTCATTCATTATCTCCTTCATCAGCAGTTAATCAAATTGTTGTTTCATCACGTCATCCATATGCAACAGATAATTCTCGTCGTACGAGTATACGATCAACAGCTGGTTCAAGTTCTTCGAATTCTCGAATTCGACATACTTCAAATAGTCATTCAACAATTCAAATGGAACCTGGTCTTCAAGCATTATTTATTGCCGAAGGTCGAGCTGCCGATATGATTGCAACAGCACGTTTAAAACGTAATGAATTAATCCGACAATCAAATCGAGAGAGTCAAGCTGAAATCGAAGCATTTCGACAAGAACGTGAAGCTCAATATAGAAAAAAATTACATAAAGCAACACAACTCGAACAATTTCAAGCAAAACTTAACATAGAAAGACATCATTTATTAGAACAAATGGATAAAAATGCCAAAAAACATCGAAAAACACTCGTCAATTATATTATTCATTGTGTTATTGATCAAATCCCTGTTGAACCACATCCAAATACAAAACGTGTTATTTTCTAGACAGTGATAAGAAAAAGAATCATTACTTCCTAATAGATTCAAAACCAAAGTCTTATCTAGTCTCTCACGAACAAAAATAAGTTGCTTGTTCCGTTTCTCTTGTATTATTATATATATATATTTGTATGTCATTGTACAGATAACAGAGTCAACTACATTTGTAAGTACATATTATATTTAGAGCATACCAAAAGTAACGAGATGCACATTATATCAAAGTATAGAAAGGCTGAGAAAAAATTCTGACCATATGTAGTCTTAGCACCAGAACTGCTCAACATGTCCGTAGTATATCACCTTCAGTCAAAGGATAATATCACATGAAGAATTTCAATGGAAGCCATACACTCTTATTTTTAGATGAGTAAGGAAAATTTTCGTTTCAACATTAAAGTAAGTACTGAACCTAACATTCAACCGAAACTGATTTCTAATAAATTACATTCTGTTCTCGACGATCAGGCTTAACATTACAATACAGTCAGCAGATGGTCAAAATTGTTTCATGTAGATTCAAAAGAGATCGAAGATCAACCAGAATTTGGTCGATCTGTAATCGGGACAGCATCGAAAAACATTGAAGAAGTTCGATGCTTTATTGATAAGATACGAGTAGAAACTGATATGAGTTGCATTACCATTGAACAAATTATTTCTGATTATCTGAAGCTGAAAAAAACTTACTGCCAGTTGGCTATCTAACTTGCTAACTGATAACCAACGAGCCGAACTTCTTCGGTTGCGTCAAGGAAATTCGATGAAACTCGAGCAAGGAACATGGCGATTATGCAATGTGTTGACAGGTGACGAGCCATGGTTTTATCATAAACAAACTAGTCAAACATCGGCGAATGCTTTCTGAACAACAGTAGATGAAACTTCGCCTACCATATGGTTCGATGCAGCCGTTTTGTTCCAAAAACCCTGTTTTGTATTTTTTTTCAACACAACTGGTCTCGTGCGAATCTATCATGTTGAACAAGTACAAACTATCGATCATAACTATTACATCGATGATTGCCTAGAACCCTTCATCGACAAAATTCAGGCAAAACGATCAGTATCTGTTATACATGCGAAAAACTCCACTATGACAATGCCAAATTGCATGTACATAAAGATGTTTCGAATCGGAAGGCACCAAAATAATTCGACAACCGCTGAATTCTTCGGATCTGACACCATCTGATTTTTGACTATTCGATCTGATCAAACAGAGTCTAACTGATCAAACTAACTCACAATCCTTGTACCTTGTTGTAACGAAGAACATTTGATAAAATACAGTCTTGAATAACTTGTTCCTTTGTCTTCAATATCTCATTACTTTTGATATGCCCTAAGCATTTGATTTACATCTTATTTTGTATTTATTTCAAAATAACCTATTTTGGTGACATTGAGAAGACCAAATAGCAATGCAAGGAAGAAAAAATGTCCTATTCAATTGTTTTCAGTTTTGGAGTGAAGTTATGTCTAAAGATGTCGTTTTTGGAAGTCGATTGTTTTCTATAGTCGATAAGTTTCACAAATGGGGACCCATTCTGTCATCAATAATTACTAAAGGCGTAGCTCTGAATCAGGATGGTGATCTCATTCAAAGTTTTCGCTCGATTGCCTAAGTTATCCATACAAATAATATCAGAAACATACTCATCGGACGCGTCATTCTTGTATATCATAATAACGAGGCTAGTACTGTGTGAATACAGAGTTCGGATAGTCATCCTAGTTCAGAGCTACGTCTTCTGTTATTTTCTGGTTGACAAACATGGTTTTTGCAGATAAAGCGGAACATCTTTTTCACTTTTTCTCTGTTTATGTACTTTTGATCATATATCTCAGAATTCTCGATTTTGTTCAAAAGAGAATGTCAAAATGCAGGGTATGACAGAGTCCATTTTTTGAATTAAGCTTTGTTACCATTATATAAAAGAGTACTTTTATAGTTAAAACGCCATTTTTTAAGACATTGAATTGTTCGTGCCTATTCTCCTCTTAAAAAGTAAGAATTAAAAAAAGAAAGATTTTGTCATGGTCTACATCCTAACACACTCTTTCGAATAAAAACCTATAGAATCAAGGCCCACAGAGAATTTTGTGTTGCCAAATGAGCTATTTTTGACCCTTGTTTGTTGAATATCTCAAAAAAAATATCACAGTATAAGGATGAAAATTTTGTCGTAATCTCTCCACTATCGTCACAACATATTCTAAAAATTTCATGCAATTTGAATATGCTTTGGCCAAGATCGATTTTTGAGGACAATCTTAAATAGGATATTTTTCTTCTTTGCATTGCTGTTTATGTTCTCTCAATATCATCAAAATGAATCATTTTGAATTAAATACAAAATAACACGCAAAATAAAATATAATATGTCCACACAAATGTACTTGACTCCTATACCCGTACAATGACATATAAATGTATATATAATAATACAAGATGAAGAGAAAAAACAACTCATTTTTCTCTGTGGGAGACTTTCCACTTAATATATGAATTAATGAGTATTTATCGAATTGTATAATAATAAGTATGACTGTGATCAAAAACAAAACAGTTAAGTTTTGGGATCATTTGTAACAAACCAATACTTGTTGTTTTTTTCATTATTTTTTTGTGCTAGATGGTAAAAATTCAAACAAATACACGTTAAGATGTGAGAAAACAAAAAAAAAGGAAGGGAAAAAAGCTGAAATTGGAGATTGATCAATAAAAAATTAGTTGGCTGATGATGGTGTAGTGTTATTGTTCACATCTGATAATTTAGATTGAATTCCAATTTTTTTTAATTCATTAACAAGTTCACCTGATTGATGCATATGAAGTAAAATATCGCAACCACCAACAAATTCTCCATCAAAATAAATTTGAGGAAAAGTTGGCCAATTACTAAATTAATTATAGAAAGATTTTAAATGAAATAATTTCGTTATCTTTTATTTTAACCTATAAAGTTTCATTGTATCTCGAAGTCGTTGATCATCTAGAATATTTTGTGATTTAAAGTCACATCCATGTAAATTGAGTATTTGAAGAACAGCTTTAGAAAAACCACAACCTAAAGTTTAAAAAAATAAAATAATTCAATAAAAAAAAATCCGGGTAAACAATGAATCATACTAGGAGCATCTGGTTCGCCTTTAATAAATACAGCAACTTTATTTGATTTAATAAAATCATCAATTTTTTGTTTAAATTGTGGATCAATAGATGATGATTCAGCAGGAGTTTTACTTTCAGCTGATGATGAAGTAAAACGTGCTGAAATGTTATTCAATGCACGTATTGAAGAATATTGCTGAATGACTCGACGAAATAATGATGAATTCATCTATAAAATAAAACCATCAATGTTCAAGGATTTCGTTTCATTTTCTGTTTTAAAAAATTTTTTTATGTATATTTTAAAAAACAAAAAAACAAAATCTCTTTTTTCTATAAACAATTCATTTCAATCATAATCATATAATTTGAAGATGCTCTTAAAACGCTTCTTTCTTTATTTCCAAACAACATCTTAATTGTCTTTTCTTCTTTTTTTTCATTATAATCACAGCGGTCGTCAACGACAGCACCGGAAAAAAACGTACTTGCAATAATACCTTAAATACAAATCAATGAATATTCAAATTATTTTCTTTTGACATTATAATAAAAAGCGAAAATTTTTTTTTCAGTTGGAGTTCGTCAAAAGAAAAAAAGGCTTCCTTTTCATTTTTTTTTAAATAAAATAATATATAATCAAAGTGAATTTTCTTGTTGTCTTGTATTCATTTGATTGCAATTCTCAACGTGAATTCTTAACTATTTCATCATTATTAATATAATGTTGTCACAGTCAACATCATCAAATTTATCTGAAGCATTAATAAATGTGAAAAAAATTGAGCAAAATTTTCTCAACCGTGAATTCACATTTATTGATCGAGAACGAAATAAAATTCGTGCAAATGTTGATCGACATATGGAAACATTTCTACAATTAACACGTAAACGACATGAAACATGGTATCGAAATGATAAACATTTTCGCGAAGCTTTAAGAGTAGAGAAAGAAAATCATGAAAAACGTAAAGAACGTCATAGACAAAAATTATTATTAGCATCTAATCCAACCTATATTCCACAAGTTCATACGCCATTTCAGCCACTGACTACTGAAAATATTGTTCTACCACCAATTACAACACCAACAATAACAACAGAAATACCAATAGCAAATAATACATTAATAATGAAAACAAAAAATAATCCATCAACAATAACTCCACGTTCTGAACCAATGACAATAGTTGATCGACGTACACATCAAGTTTTACGTGCTTCACAAAAATTACTTGATGAATCAGCAGCACGATCAAGATATAAATTTGTACCCGATCGTCCTTCATCAGTATCATTTCAGCATAAACGTCCACCACCACCACCAGCATCATCAAGTTCATGTTCATTTAATAGTGGAACACTTATTGTACCGATGCTAACATCAGTTGATTGTGAAGAATATAATCGTTTAATGCATGAATCATTACAACATGAAACATTTAGTGGACTTGTTGATCATTTTGTTAAATTTCGTCCTGAATTTCGTGAACAATTCGGTCTTATTTACGAAGCTAGTAAAAGACAAAAAGCAATGGAAAAATTACGAAAACATAATCAAATACATGCAAAAACCAAAGATGAACGTTATCATAAACTAGTTAATAGTCTTACTGATCTTCATTCTGAACAATAAGAAAAATTTCATTAATTATTAAAATAAAAACAAAGAAAATAAAACAGATAAGATTTATTTTTAATTTGTAGTATGTGTGTTTATAAATAATATTTTTTTTTTCTTTGTAACAAACAAAATCTGAATAGGAAACAGAAAAATTCGTACAAGTTCACAATTAAATGAAACTTACGAAGAATGTATTTCAACTGATTCTTCACTATTAAGCTAACATTTTATTTATAAGTAGAATTCTGTGCAACTAAAAAAAAAAAAAGAATTGTTCATGGTGAGAATCCATTAGTCAAAAGTCACAATCGTTTTATTGAATTTTCAGCTTAGAGAAAAACATCTACAGTGAAATCAAATGAAAATATGTTCATATGAAACTATTTCTTCTTGAAGTATTGAATTTTCAGAATAGGCATCGTTATTGTAATCTATCTCAAGAAGAAAATATTCATTTTACCTGAAAATTCAGTAATACGACTGTAAACTCTGATCAATGGGGCATCACCGCAAATAATTTTAAAATCTTTTTTTTAGAATCATCAAATCCTACTTATGAACAAACTATTAGTTCAAAAGTGAAAAATCAAATAAGATACTTTCCTCGTTAGTTTAAAACAAAAGATAACAGCTGAATAGAATAATCGTTATATACAGTATATGTGTTTACCAGACGAAAAATGCAACATTTGGAATATGTCATTAAAAAGAAAGAAGAAATTTGTAAAATAAAAATTTTTTTATGGAAAAAAAAACATCTTGATTTTAAGAAATAATAACATGACAATAGAACTATGATTTCAAATTTGCTAATATTCGTTCAATTTCAGCATCTTCTTCATTTGTTTGTCTTCGACTAGCTACAGCACTAGATGTTGCTACTGGTACACGTGGTGCATTAGCCATCTAAATAAAAAGAAATGTTGTTTTTTTAATTTAAAAATAATCTTAAAAAAATTTTAATCAAACTTTTTCATTAAGTGAAATGCCAATTTCATCAAGAACTTGGTTAACAATGGCATCTTCTTCGTCAGAATCACCTTCTTGTCCTAAGGCTGCTTCAAGTGTTTCACCAACTTAATAAAAAAAGAATTCTTTTATTAATATATAAAATATTAAAGGACGGAAGCGCATAACGATCAGTTTTAATCCACCTAATTTTTTTCTCAGAAAAGAACATAAAAACTATCAGATTGTATAGTGCTTCTGACGAATCTAACTATGTGTATATCATTATAAGATTTCTTCGTGTTGTGAGCAAGGAAATTAAATGCTTCTTCTGAGATGTAGTTGCAAGTTAATGAGTTCATTCATGATGTGATGAATAGAACATGATTCGAGTTATGTTTTAGTACTAAAATGAGTTTTCATTGAGCCAAGAATGAACAGACAAGAAAATTTGAGTAGTCAAAAGCGATGGATTGACAACCATCAGTTGATTTTGAGTGCCTTATATCTCAGAAAGTAAAAATGAACATATCGCAAGAAATTTCAGTATTACTAAAATACATGACAAACTGACAGAACATCTATAATTTGTTGGCGGAAAAAGTATGATTACATATTCAAAATCGAATTCGTTTTGTTCAGATAGTTAAAAGTGACCTTTTTTTGACTGATATTTGTCAATTTTTGTGAGATTCTTTACTTTTCTAGTCAAAAAAATGACATATATGGAATCAATGTCAACAATTGAGTTGATCTATATGTGTTTCAAATTACTTGAACAATTTTTATTTTCGCCAAAAATTCATCCCTGGTCTCCTTCAGAATTCAATTAAAAAATAAAGTCAATTATAACGCCATTTTTAATTCGTAGTCATCTGCTTTTTTGTGCTCTATTATTATTTTATAAGAATAAAACTTGTTTTCAATTATATAAATGAGATTCTGACGGACTTCATTTTTTTCTTGGCTGAACTCTGAGACGCGGACCAGGGGTGAATTTTTCGACGAAAATAAAAGTTGTTCAAGTAATTTGGCACATATTTAGATCAGTTCAGTTGTTGACACTGATTTCATATATGTCATTTGTTCTAACTAGAAAAGTAAAAAATCTAACAAAAATCGATAAGTATCATGTCACACTCTATTCATCACACTATGGATGCGCTCATTAGCTTGTGACTCCATTTCAAAAGACGGATCTCTATCTTCTTAACTCACAACACAATGAAATCTTATGATGATGGTAGAGTTTGTGATGGACATGAGTACTCCTAATTCAAGACTTTGCGACAACATTTACACATGATTCGATTCGGCTTTCATACGCTACAAAACTTAATAATTTTTAGGTTCCTTTCTGAGAAAAATATTAGATGGATTAAAACTGATCTTTATGCACTCCCGTTCTTTAATGCATACTCATATCATCTGTAATAGTGAATTTTGTATGTTCCTGAACAAATTGTTGTGTAACTTTAGACATTTGTTCTGGATTCATAACTTTATTCATTTTAGTCATGGTTTTCGCAGTTGTCTAAATAATAACATTAATTTAAAAATAAACAGAAAGTGAAATAACTAACTTCCATTGCATTAGCCATTCGAACATTTGATGCCATCATTGTACTTTGTGTAGCTAAGCCTTGAATTTGACCAGATGCTTGAAGTGATTTTGCTTTTTGATTTCGAACTTTAACAAGTTGTTTAGCTAAGATTTCTACTGCCTAGAAAAATATTCTTATGACTTTTCATTGTATTTTTTTTTTTTACTTTTTTATTATTAGTCGCTGCACTCTTTTTAATTTCATTAATCTATAAATAGAAGAAACAAAAACAAAAAAGCCGATCAATATATATTTATAGTAAAATATTTTCTCTTACTAATCGTTGTTCTTCAGCTTCAATTTTATGTCGATCACGTACTAATTCTCGATCAGTTGTTCTTAATTCTCGACCATGAGCTTTTGCTTGTTCTTTAATTCACAAAACGAAAAAATTATTAATATAGATAAGAACAAAGAAAAAAAATAAAATTTTTCATTTACCTGCAACAGATGGTTTTTTGCCGAACATTAGTTTAATTAACTATTAAAATCTAGAAGATATATTTTGTCAATTAGAATTTCATTTTATCAATATGTATGAAAGATGAAAATTAAAAAAAACACCTTTTATACAATCATCAGATGTATATTCATCTTTTGAATGATCAGCAAATACTTCATGACAAATAGATTTTGTCGATAATTGATGAAACTTTATTTATACAATATGATTCACATAAACAATGTTCGTTAGCAGGAGAACATTGAAGTTGTATAGATGACTAATTTTTTTCAAATTACACAATTCATCTAGAACTAAAGAAAATTTTTATTTCGTAAGTGTTTTTTTTTCGTTCAAGGAAAAGAAAAGAAAAACAATTTAATAGAAGATCAAACGGATGGATCTATATTTAAATGTCCTTGTTGGCATAAATAGAAAGGAAAATTCTCTTTGTTTTCAACTTAGTATCTGCCATTATTTATCATCTTCGGATAAACATTGTATTGCTTTTTTTTTGTTTTGAATTTCATTGATCAATACATTTAATGAAATTTTTATGTAAATCATTAATTGATAATTGAATTGAATTGAAATTATAATTATGTATAATCAGTTCGATTAATTGTTCCATGTCGATTTGGATTGGTTAATGATTGAGAATTCATAAAAACTGATGGATCAGCATATGTAGAATCTTGAGATAATAATTGATGATGTTCATTTTGTGATGTTTGATAAACATCATACGCATCCTATAAACGAAAAGAAAATAAAATTTTAATTAAAAATTAAAAATAAAAACAATAAAAAATGAAATTTCTATACCGATTGTGAAAAATCTTGTTGCGATAGACCGTAAGCATGTTGAGACATAAGACCACTTTGTGATATTGGATATGATTGGCTTATTGTACCAAATTGTGTTAAACTTGGATTATCCTTAAAACAGAAATTCTATATAAATTCGTCACAAATTTTCATTGTTAAGAATGAGTTTGATTTATGTTATGCTAGAAATAGAAATGTGTAGTTTCCGTACGCTTATTACCGATATATTTTATGGTGTTGTTCATTAGCCATAAATTATATATAAAATACTATGACATCTTTCGGATAGAAAATGTAAATATACAAAAAGTTTTTATTGGATAACAGAATATCAATTTAACAGTTTCTCATATGATTTTAAAGGTAACTGGCTACATGAAGTGCTTTTTAGTCACTTAGCCGCTCTGGCAAATTCTTCTTTTTCTTTCTACAGGCAATGAAGTAAATAATCCAGAAAACTGAAAGGCAGCAGCCTTTCTAAAAAAAAAAACTAATGATGTTCGAAAATATCCAAATCCGAACTTGACGGAACCTATTATTGAGTAGTTTCCGAACTCGAACTATTCGGTCCGAGTTCCAAAGTGGAGTTCAGGTTCATTGCATATCAGTATAATCATTGTTTTGGTGACTCACTATTCAATATTTATACCAACACTGCACATCCCTGATTTCTATGAAGTTAGTCTTGTTATTCAAAATTATGATATTTTTGGGGAAAGATCAATGCTCTCATTTAGTTATTTTTCGGTGATGACTATAAATAAAAGTACCAAAAGTGTATATTCTAATAGAATCAGTGTCAGCATTTACACCGTAACTACACATATTGAGTTAGAAGAAAAATTTTTATTTAACAAACCTGTGATTGAGTTGTACCATTGATCGGTTTTGAAAATCGTGGAGGTTTTAATGAACTTTTCATTTTTGTTATACCTCCTTTTCCATCTTTAATATTTGTTGTTTGATTATTCATTGATCGACCTAAATATAAAATTTGTTAATCTGATCAGAAAAAAACAAAAATTCTTTTCAAATTACCATTCATCATTGTATTAAATGGTGAAGATCCATTAATATATGGTATTGGCATTGATGACATCATCATTTGATGTGGCATTGGTAAATTAAGACCATTAGATAGTTGTTGTTGTGATGCACCATTCATTCCTACTGTATCAATATAACTTAAT